CCGACTCGACGGCACATAACAACAACAACATTACAGCCATACTGCTAACCAGAAGGCTGGCGGTTCAAACCCACCAGCCACTCCTCGGAAGATGGGGCAATCTACTTCTGCAATGATACTGCCTCAAAAACCCAAAGAGGGGTCGCTATGAGTCGGGTCCGACTCCACAGCACAGAACAACTACAACAACAATACTCTGCTTGGGTGTCAAAGCAATGTCTCATGCGTTGTAGCATCCATCATAGCATACATTAGCTGTAGTAAGCCTTCATGTGGTTGGGTGTGGATTTTTTTTTTAATGCTGTGATTCTCAAACAAAATGCTGTTGCTGAGATAGTTCACAAAAGCTATGAAACTGAACAACCAAAAAGCCTTAAGGAAAGAGGATAACATCCCATCTTCTGTATTGGTCTCCAGTAAAATAATGTTAGCATTTCTGATTCTTGAAAATAGTGATACTTCCAATTAAACACACAAACACACACATGGAAGGAAAAGAGAGGCAAACCATCAGATCCTGATGTGGCCCACAGGTAATTTTAAAACCATTCTCTTGTCACAACTAGCTGATTTTGCCTCCTGAATTGTGTCAGTAACCAAGAACAGCATTGGAAATGCCTTCCCACTCACACTCGTGTTGTAATATGTTGTCTATATCGTAAAGCAGCTAATTCACAATGGCCTTAATCGTAGGTATAGAGACTCACCCATAGTAGACACAAGATCACAAATATAAGTCATCGTGTCTTTTATTAAGCCATTTTACCTGCTCTCTATAATAAATGACTGAATTATACTTACAATGTACCTTTCTGCACATTATGTCTGTAGTTCTAATTATTCTCTGTGCACTCCAGTATAGGTTCACACTAAAAAAAAAATTCATTATTTCTACCTAGAGCTCAACTGAGTGAACACCAAGTAATTTCTTGGAAGATAACTAAGAAAATCAGACTTCAGGAACTCTAAACTGCACTTGGGCATGGATCATCCAGTGATTTAGTGAATGGACAAGTGTACACACACACACACACACAGAGTGATAATACAAAGCAAACTGACTTTTAGTCAGTTTTTTGTTTTCATATTGTCTCTAACTTCTCTACTGACAATGCTACTCTTTTTGGCTCCATCAGAGGGATCCCTTCCATCACCCTCCCCCCTCCAACCCTAGCATGATCCTACAACCAACTTGAATGAAACTGAAAAGAGACTATTTTTCAAAACTGAGGCTAAATGCTCCCACTTTGGTATGTTCCTTCCTGACCCCAAGCCCCAAATGCTTTTCCCTCCTCTGAGCAACTACAACCAGGCCAGTACTTCCCACAATGTTCTGAAGAACAAAAATTAAAATGGTGACAAAAGGGTTTCAAATGAAAACAAGGCTTTCCAGTCAAATAATTTCAGGAAATGCTCGGAAAGAACAAAAGTTCTGTTTTAAATTTCAAGATTACCTTAAAATCCCAGAATATTATAAAGGGTTATAGTGTGCTAATATTCTCTGAGCCTCCAATATCATGTATTATTTTACAGGGTTGCCAAAACTCATTTTCTTCTGAGCAGCCATCTATGTTATTCATGAAACATCTGGATACAACTTCACGCTAGAATCATACAATTTATCATACAATTCTAATATGGAAAGTGGCATGGAGACCTTCCTCAACCAATCCTCTTGTTTATAGTGAAAAAACTGAGGCTTAAAGTTTGTAAGGGCTCAAGATTTCAGTTAATGGCAGATGTGGCATTAGAACACTGAGATTGCTGGATACCAAGCTTTAAGTTTTTTTTTTTTTTTTTTAAGTATAGCAACACACTGTACTATTCTCGAACTTCATAGATGAATGTCACACATGAAATCCCCTATCCGAAGTAGCTGGGAAGCTCTTTGAGATCAGAATAAGGCATTGTAATCCTAGCTTTATTTCCCCAGTAAGTTGGCTCTTGGCAAATAGCAGGTTTCTGTTTGTAGTAAGTGATGACTAATGGTTCTTTGGTGATGGTTAAGATATTCACAATCAGTACAGTTTCAAAAGAAGTACAAAGTAAGTGCAACATTTGTTTTTCTTTTCTTTTCGCTTTTTACCATTTAGGGTCTCCCGGAACTTCAATTGTGAATTTAACTTGTACCACAAACACAGCAGCAAATAATTATACCCATTTAAGCCCGTACCAAGTGTCTCTTCACTGCACCTGGTTTGTTGGCCAGGATGCCCCTGAGGATACGCAGTATTTCCTCTACTATAGGTTTGTACTTATCTTTACTTACGCAAATGGATTGTTTCCTCCAGCCTTATAAAACTTATGAGTGTTCCAATTCAGGTATGGCTCTTGGACTGAAGAATGCCAAGAATATAGCAAAGACATATTGAAGAGGAATATTGCATGCTGGTTTCCAAGGACTTTTATCAATTTTTATGGGCGAGACAGGCTTGCAGTGCATGTTAATGGCTCAAGTAAGCATGCTGCAATCAAACCATTTGATCAACTGTTTGATCTTCATGCCATTGGTAAGATAGGCTTATATTACCCAAGGTTAAAATAACTGACTCATAGACTCTCAGCATTGAAAGGGGCTGTAAATATCACCTCAGTTAACTACTTCTCTGATGCTGGGGTAATCTTTCTCAGCGATTTCCCAGCTAGAAGGTCACTTAGCATCAGAGAAGTAGTTAAATGTCCAACCAAATCAAACCAAGCCAGTTGGGTCAACTCTGACCCATAGCAACCCCATGGATGCAGAGTAGAACTGCACTCCACAGGGTTTTCATAGCTGTGACCTTTTGAAAGCAGATGCCAGGTCTTTCTTCTGAGGTGCCTCTTGTGGGTTTGAACTGCCAACCTTTTGGTTAATAGCCATGTGCTTAACTGTTTATGCCACTTAGTGACTGCTTTCAGTACTGCTCGTGTTTTCAGCTGGATAATTCTGAATTGTGGGGGAAGGATTCGGTCTTGTGCATTGTTGTATATTTAGCAGTATCCTTGGCCTCTAGCTAGTAGGTGCCAGTAGTCCCCAGTTGTGACAACCAAATATGTCTCTAGACATTTCCAAATGCCCCTTATCATGGGCAAAATAACCCCCGGTTGAGAACTGCTATACCAAAGGGAGTAAATTCACTCCTTAACAGAGCTCATTTCATCTTGAAGCAGCTCTATTTCCTGACATTTCTGCCCATGTGGTCTAGAGGAACCACATCAAACAATTCTGATTGCTTTTGCCATAAAACGGTCCCACAACTATCCAAAGGCAGCTGTATTTTCAATCTTGAAGCTCCTCTTCCCCAAGCTAAACTTCCTCTCATGTTCTCTTCTGACCCGTCTCCTCTGGACATTCTCAAATTAGAATGTCTCTATCAGCATGTGATTCTCAGATCTGAACATTCTTCTCAAGGTTTGATTCTTATCAATTCTCAAAATACAAGATATTCTTCTCATCCTAGATACTTCTATTAAAGAAACTCAGCACACAGCCTTCTCAGTTATTAGCGAAACTTCAGTGGGGCAGGAGCAGGGGAAGTGTAGTTATTAGTATGGGCTATGGAGCCAGGCTGCCTAGATTTGAATCCTGCCTCTTCCACTGACTACTGAGTGACCTTAGACAAGCTGATCACCTTACTTTGGCTCAGTCTTCTGGTCTACAAAATGGGGATTAATTGGTTTCACTTGATTGTTAACCTACAGCTAGGCAGTTCAAACCTACCTATCAGTAGTATAGAAGAAAAGGACTAGCAATCTGTTTCCATTAAGATTATAGCCAAGAAAATCCTTTGGAGAAATTCTACTCTGTAACACATGAAGTCACCATGAATTGAAATTAACTTGGTGACAGTTAACAACAACAATAGGACTTTTGTGAGAATCAAAGGCAATAATAACTGTATAGTCCTTTTAACAGTGATGGCTTAAGTTTTCAAAAAATACGCTAAATATTATCTGAAGGATATGATTTAGTCTATGAAATATCTATATTAAACAGAGTGTAACTTTACAGAATCACATCACACACTTACAAAAGAGGATATGCAATTCTCTTCAATAGTATATTTTAAAAGAAAAACAACTCATTGCCATTGAGTCATTTCTGAGTCACAGCAACCTCTCCTTGGGTTTCTGAGGTGGTATTCTCTACAGAAATAGATTGCCCAATCTTCCTTCTGAGGAGTGGCTGGTGGGTTTGAACCTCCACCCTTCTGGGTAGCAGTCAAATGCCTTAGGCACTATGCTACCAAAGCTCCCAAGTAAAGATAAAGCCCAGTTCATGCTTTTTATGCAAGAGACAACTGCTGTTTCATACTCCCTCCACAAAAAAAAAACAAAAGGTACATAAAACAAAATGAAAGAAAAACAAGCCCAGAAAGAGGAAGTGATTTGCCCAGTGCTGCATACCTGCTGGCAAATAGAGAGAGCCAGGGTTGGGCACTCTAGGTCAATATTCTTTCCATTGTCATTTGACCCTTGGGTTCATCCAGTGATGGTTTGTGTCAGCAATGAGCTGATGGGGGGAGGAATTTAACCACTCATTTCACATTTAGAGTAGGAATTCTTAATGTTTACAGGAGGAATCTCTTTTTCTTCAGTGCTACAAAAAAGAAGTCATATTGGAGGCCACCAGCTTCCTGTGGCTTAGAGATCAGTTGATTAAGACCTGATAGTAAACCTGAGATGATCATATCCTAGAAATGCATTAAGAAATGTAGATAGATTGGACTCATCACTTGTTATCACTGATTCTCCAAAAAGTCACTGATCTCTCATTCTCTACCCTAGACCAAATAAACCCTCCAATGAATGTCACAGCAGAGACTGAAGGAAATTGTCTCTCTATCCAATGGAAGAAACCAGTTTCCACTTTTCCAACCCACTGTTTTCATTATGAAGTTAAGATTTACAACATAAGAAAAGATTATATTCAGGTAATTCCTCAGATCATATCAATGTTCAATGATATGCATTCTAGAAGCATTTAAAAAAATTATCTTTAATGAGTACTCTGGTTATAGCTTGGTATGATTAAGGTCAGAGTGAATTCACATCCATTCAGGTGTTAAGAAAATAAACCAAACATTACTGGCCTTATGTCTTGAGATGACATATCTTGGAATGAAAATATGTAAAGGACTCGGAAAAAAAAGTCATTAGCACTAATAGACAAAGAGTTTAAGAGGAAAACAACTGTAAAGAGAGCCAATATTTACTGAACATCAAGTATATGTCTTGCTTTATTTGTTTATTCAAACCTCATAGTAATTCTATTACATAAGTATAATTTCCATTTTAAACGTCTAGAGATCCAGAAAATTGAGGAACGAGGTGGTTAAGCAATTTGCCCAAGGTCACAAAGCTAGAAAAAATAGGACTGTCAGGATTCAAACTCAGTGTTTTAATACAGGAACACATATTGTCTTACTCATAGCAGGTGAAACAAATTCAATTCTATTCAACACATTTTTAATCAGTTGGCTATTTTGTGGCAAGTGTTGGGAGATACGAAGATAAACAAGATGCTGTTTCTCCTACTGAGGGCCTAGTTTAGTGGACACGCCCAGAGTTGCTCTCCTAATGGAGGCACAAAGGAAGGGATAGGCAAAGTAACCAGTTGGGGGTCTGTACAGAGAGGAATTGTGTAGAAAATTGTGTAGAAAAGGAGCTCTGGTAGCATAGTGGCTAAGACACTTGACTGCTAACCAGAAGGCTGGCAGTTTAAACCCACCAGCCACTCCTCGAAAGGAAGATGGGGCAATCTACTTCCGTAGTGATACTGCCTCGGAAACCCAAGGAGAGGTCGCTATGAGTCGGGTCCGACTCGACAGCACATAACAACAACAACAACAACAACAACAACAACAGAGAGGAATTGTGTAGAAAATGAAGGATGACTAGAAATTTGCCTGGTGAGAGAACAGGGAAAAGATGTTCCCAGCCAATCCTTTTCCACCTCTCTGTGGCAAAGGACTGTCTGTTGTTGTTTTAAACTATCTAATCCACTATGGATTAGCACTTTCATAAAATACAGTTAAAATGATTTGCTAGGAAAATGAAGTGTAACCAAAGACGTGTAAAATACAAAGCCTACTCACCGATCATGAGCTTGATATCCTGGCAATGTCACTGTTCTAGCAATGTTTCTAAACAGTAGTTTCCATTTCTGTATATATCTTGCTGTAGACCAGTAATACATAGTTCCCAACCCATACCAGTCCAGCCACCACATTCTGAGTGGCAGGAGTCTGAGAAAGCATGGTTCCTTGAGTCAAATGGCCAACATGGGAATCATAACCTTAGGCTTCAGATCCCAACTTCTCCCAGAGTAACCTTGTAAGACTTTGTTAGGAAAAGAAATGGGTTTCTTTTTGAAAAGCCATGACCATAGGTATGTATGCCATCAAAGGGTTTTAAGGATTTTAAGCAAGAAACATGACCACATCTGAAGAACAGAAGAATAATTTTGGTAGCAGTGTAGAAACTGGATGTGGGTGGACAGGAGGATATCACTTATCACTTAATGACTGCTATAATAGCCCAAACAAAAGATGATAAGAGCCAAAATAGGCAGTGACCTTGGGATGGGGATGAGGGACAGAGGGAGACACTTACGCAGGGTATATGTATGATGCATGTATCAGAGACACATCCCTGGTTTGGGATACAGGGAGTAGGCTGGATCATTGTTTTACCAGCTAGCAGAGGTAATATAGGACAAGGGCCCATTTGTGAGAAAACAGTCAAGATTCAATGCTGGGCAATGTTAGCCTAAGTTGTCTGTGGCCAACTAGCACTGACTGAACATACATCATTAAGTTGAACCATCCAAAATTGCTGTTTTAAAGATCAAAATATTGAATACTGTCAATTTTCCATAGGATTCAACCTAATATGTGTCCTACTGATTTTACATATATCCTTAAGTTTGGGGTTTACAAAGGTAATTTCATTTAACTTACTGATCCATGGGTTAGATATTTTTACCCTATTTCACAGACAGGAAAGTCAAGGGACTTACCATAATTGGAAGCAGAACTAGGATTCCAATCCCACCCTTCCTAAAGTCTGAGCTCTTTCCATTTCCCATGCTGCCCCTCACACCACTTCTGTCTCTGGTTGTTTGAGACTCCCCTGAATATCAAGAGTCAGCAAATGTTTTTTGAAAGGGGCAAGATAGGAAATATTATAGGTTTAGTAGGCCATATGGTTTCTGCTGCAACTATTCAACTCTACCATAGTAGAGGGAAAACAGTCATAGACAATAATGCAATGCAATATGTAAAGCTGTATTCCAATAATACCTTATTGTGGACACTGAAATTTGCTTTCCAAGTCATTTTCATGTGTCATGAAATAATATTCTTGTTTTGATTTTGTTCCAACTATTTAAACATGTAGAAATCATTTTTAGTTTGCTGGCCTTACAAAATCAGGCAGCTGGTGGGATTTGGTCTGCAGACTGTGGTTCGTAACCTGTGCTGAGTATGACAGGAACCACGTGATAATACTCTTTAATAATAGGACAAGAGAAGATGGAGGGACGAAGTGAGGAGGATGATACATTCTGCTAACTGCTGCTCCAGCCTTTCAATTTGGAAACATCAGTTAAGCCCATAGGGACCATCTGTGTCTTACAATTGACCAGTATCTATTTTGGTCACTGAATAGCTTTTTCCTGAAGGATGACTTGTCAACACAGTCATATTGAAGCAGTCTAAACTGATCAATATGTGTCCTATTGATTTTAAATTGATTGCTGACCAGTGAGCCACATTACCTAATAGGACTTCCCATTGTGATAATTAGCATAATGTAAATTGTGTCTCTACAGATTCTTATGATGCTAATTTCTTTCCATTTAGACAGAAAGAATAATGACCAATGCATTCATCTTGATAATTGATGTTACTTCTAAGTATTCAGTTCAAGTGAGAGCAGAAGTGAACTTTGCATGCAGGGAAAAGGGACACTGGAGTGAGTGGAGTCAACCTATTTATGTGGGTGAGTATCTCACACTTATCCTGAGGCAAACTATCTTGTTACTGGGTGCTGTGAAGGTGATTTTGACTCATGGCAGCCCTATGTGTTGTAGAGTAGAACTTCTCCATAGGATTTTCTTGGCTGTACTCGAAATGGAAACAAAGTGCCAGATCTTTCTTCTGTGCTGTTGCTGGATACGCTGGAACTGCCAATCTTTAGGTTACCAGTCGACTGCAAACTATTTACACCATTTGGTGACAAATTACCTTACTGATGGTTAAAAGAGGTAATCCTGGAAAATATGCAAACTCAGTCACAGGTCTCAAAATTGTTTCACATCTCTGCCATGCTTCATCTTCTGTAGGTCAACCGTTATTTTTACAGAGATAACGCACATATCACACACACACACACACGTTTGCAAACTGCACAGCTCCCTCATGCATTAGTCTCCTATGTTCTAGTTCTTCTGGTCTCATAGTTGTATAGGTTGCAGATCGGATGGTGTACCAGTCGCTAGGACTGATTGTTTCCATTAATTTTGGTTTTCTTCTTTCTTCTTGACGAGGAGAGACCCGTTGTTACATCTAGATGGCAGCTTCCTAGCTTTTAAGGTCCCAGTCGCTACTTGCCAAAGTAGTAGGTGGAACAATGTTTTGTATAGTATGTTATGCCAATTGAGCTTGATGTCCCCTGCGACTATGGTCCCAAGCCCGCAGGATCAACTACTCGGTCCCTCTGGGTAGCTGGCTGTGACCAAGCAATGACCATAACCTTGCCCCTTGTAAGCCAATGCATTTTAAGGATCCAACTCTTACTAGCACTAGCCCTTACAAGGTCCTTTACCCAGCTTTTCTCCCCAGATATTGTTTCTACATCTACCCAATTTTAAAGAACTTTTTTGGTATTAATTGCAGCAACACATGCTGTTGTAAGAAATGATACACAGAGATCCTGAGCACCTTTCACCTCATTTGCCCAAGGAAAACATCTTGCAAGAGTATAGTACAATATCATAACCAGAAAATTAGCATTGATATAATCTACTAATCTTAGCTAGATATCATCAGTTTTACATGTACTGATTTGGGTGTATGCATGTCTACTCAGTTCTAAGCAATTTTGTTAAATGTGAAGGTTCCTGTATTAACCACCACAGTCAAGATACAGAACAGCTCCATCTCCACAAGGATCTCTTGTGTTGTCCTCTTAAACCACATCTGCCACCACTTCCCCTCCCTCCCTCACCATCTATCCCTAACCCTGGAAATCACTATCTAGTCTTCATCTCTATAATTTTCCTTGACCTAATTTTGCATTTGCATTCATAGTTTTCTGTTCTTAAAGAAGATTCTAAAATAGTTTCATGGTCCACAAAGTCTGGATCCACCCCTAGGCCTTCATATCTAATATTTCATATCCAGTATTACTACATGTACAAACAACTGGGAGTCACCTGGGCTTCCTGTGTTGGTTCTGAAACAGATTTTGTTTATGACCAAATTGACTAGTTTACTTGTCAAGTAAGGTAGTTATTCACCAGTTGAATCTGTGAAGGCCCTGGATGAAAGGGCGTTTCTGACCTTACCTTGGGCCAGATGACATCCCCTAGTCTAGAGATGTGGCCTGGCACTTGAAGATAGAATATTCATGCCTTGTGTTTATTGTTATCTAGGTGTCTTGGGCAAGAGAACATCAGCATTTTATGAGAAAAGGGGACAGTTAAAAAATAAAAAGTGTGTCTTGTGTGTATGCAGGCAGCCTGGGGATAGAGACATATGTGATTAAGTATTGCATTATGTCTACAAAAGCTTAAGAAGTCAAAGAACACTAGAGTCTGAAATTCCAAGTTTAGCACTAGTCTTGTCACATATTGGAGTCCATGAGTGGTGAAAATGATTAATGACCTCAGCTGCTAACTGAGTGTTAAAGGTTTGATTCTAACCAGAGTTTCCTCCAATGGGGTATCTAATGACCATCTGAAGAGTGTACTTGAGAGACTTCTTTTAGTCATGTGCTAAAATTTTCTATTATTTAATTCATATACTTAGGCTATGGAGTCTTCAGGAAATTCCTGGACAGTGACCTATTAGCCCATGTGGATGTAAGTCAGATCAGGCACGTATCAGGCTTCCATAGAAGACTGGGAAAGGTGAGGAAAGGACTGGAAATGGAGAACTTTTCTGAACATTAAGGGGGCTTTGTCATGCTAAGTTGCTGAGTATCCAAGGGGTAGTGGCACCCCTTAGAGTTGTACAACACATGACCAGAGTAGCTTTAGGGGTTGGCCTTGATATCACTCGACTGTAACTCAGAAGAATAGCATGAGCCTTCCTGGGGAGAGAGAACTGAAACGAGGGAAAAAGGAACTGAGAATGAACCAACTTCATAATTCTACTGAGGCCAATCTTCCCCTTCCTCCTCTTGTCCTAGGTTGATACCCCAACCTGATTAAATTGATCCAGCATGCACAGGGCCTCCCTCAACAATGCTTCATCTGCACAAATAAAATGCACTCTACTCATAGGGAAGCCAATAGAAGAAATATTACTCAGTCCCAGGGAACTTTCAGCAGGATTATTAATGTTATCAAATTCCTATGGCAGAAGCTTAACTTTTATTACTTACATTCAGTGTATTTTCTTTTTAAACACTTTATACTAATCTTCAAGGGCACAAGTCTTGTTAGTGACAAAATATTAATATTTCTAAGTGTCTTCTCAATGTTACTACATATACAGTCTCTACTTTTTTAATGCCGTGCAAGTTGCTTCAGACCAACACAATGGAGCTTGAAACCAAGGCCAGATTCTGGGCTAATGATCCATGTCTGCTTATGAGGGTCTGAGTTTTTAAATTATGTCAGGGTTGACTGTAGAGAGTTTAGAGCTTAGGAAGTGGGGAAGAAGCTTTAGACAAACTAGGAGAACTAGGTTTTAGCCATGGCTCTGCCGATGCCTAATTCTATGACTAAATTGTTGTTAGTTGATGTCATGTTAGCTCCAACTCGTGGTGACCTTATATACAATAGAATGGAATGTTGCCTGATCCTATGCCATCCTCATGATTATTGCCATGTTTAAATCTTTTGTCATGGCGATTACATCAGTCTCATTGAGCTTTTCTCCAGTTGCTTTTGACCTTCTATTTCACAAAACATGATTTCCTTTTTAGAGAATGGTCTACTCTTTTGACATTTTTATATCAGATTAATATTGTTTGACCCAGAGAGTTTTCATTTGCTAATTTTATTATTATTATTATTATTATTACTATTATTATTGTGATTTGGGTGAAAGTTTACAGAGCAAATTTGCTTTCCATACAACAGTTCACATACACTTTTTCTCATGACATTGACTATGATTTACTCCAATGCAGCAGCTCCCCTCCCACTTCCTCCCAATAGTTATCTCTTCCCTGTGTCCATCTCTCCATGCACTCCTGCCCCCTGAGCTGTCTCCCTGTGCATAAGCAGCCCTTCTTTCTCCCCTGATTGTTCTCTCCAAGGAGTGTAGCTACCCCAGGTAAATGTTCAACTCATATGCCTGTCTTTTGTTTGGCTGGAAGCTACAGGTGTGGGTTCAATTCCAGACCTGAAGGGCAGCTAGTGGCCATAGTCTCAGTGGTTCCACCAGGCTCTATCAGACCAGCAAATCTGGTTCTCCTGCCATTTTTTTTTTCCAAATGATTTTGAGTTTTGTTCCACATTGTTCTCCCTCTCTATCCAGGATCTCCTACATAGATCCCCCTCCAAGTGTTTGACAATGGTAGCCGGGCATCATCTAGTTCTTCTAGTCTCATAGTCGTACAGACTGCAGATTGCATGGTGTACCAGTAGCTGGGACTAATCGTTTCCATGAATCTTTGTTTTTCTTCATTCTTCTTTGCTCTGGATGAGGAGAGACCCATTGTTCCATCCAGATGGCTGCTTGCAAGCTTTTAAGATCCCAGTTGCTACTCACCAAAGAAGGAGGTGAAACAATATTTTGTGTAGTATGTTCTGCCAATTGAGCTTGATGTCCCCTGCGACTATGGTCCTGAGTTCACAGGTTCAGCTGCTCACTCCCTCTGGGTAGCTGGCTGTGACCAAGAAGTGACTACAACCTTGTCCCTTGGCAGCTCAACTATACACCTGGGAATTCAGATCATACAAATACATTTATAGGACCATTGTCTGCCAACCCTATACATGGTCTTGGGCACACTCCCTGCTTCATAGACATACCTAATAGTTCAGCCTGTCCACCCATCTATCTACCCATATACCCACGTTTGCCTTGACTGACAACACAGTACTGTATGTGCAAAAGGGCTCAGCTTTGTTTTCTGTACCTCCCATGTCTTCCTCTTCTTCAATGCCACCATGTTGAGCACTCACATTTGGTACATTTTCATTGGCTAATTTTTAGAAGTAGATCACCAGGCCTTTCTTTCTAGTCTTAGTCTGGAAGCTCTGCTGAACACTGTACACCATGGTGTCCCTGCTGATGTCTAAAATACCAGGAACATAGCTTCCAACATCAAAACAACACATAGGCTCCTACAGTATGACATGTGGATTATCTCAACCAGAGATGGTAAAATACAGTATTTCGTGAACCAAATAATTGAAGACTGCTCAGTGCTGGATTGAGGAGGATTCTCAGGCTAAATATGGGTCATCAGAAAGATTTATCAACATCACCTGCCCCTGGTATAGAGGATATAGTGGTGACTAGTGTGCCAGGGTTTGGCTAAAGACTAATGCCTTTAATCTTCATCTAACCTCATCAGTCACACCTGACTTCTCTGGGTCTTAGTTTCCTCACCTGTAAAAAGAGAGCTGCTTTCTTTTCAGCTCCACCATTCATGTTTTTTATTTTACACTGTCTCACCCCACCACCAAAGTGCAGAGACTGAACTTGTAATCAGTAATTAGAGTTTATATTGAGTTTGTTTTTAATTTATCACTCACTCTCCACTTTAAAGCTCTCCAAGCATTATTTCCTAAATAATAGCTTCCTCATTTGGGCCTGAGA